CCTTTCCGGGGAGTGGGGGCAGGGCAGAGGCCCAGGTCCTGCTGCGAGTGGCCGGGAAGGAAGGGGAGGTGAGCCCTTCTGAAGTCTCCCCACAGCAGACAGGAGAGCAGAGCTGCTGGGGCGGGGCCGCTGCACCCACTTCTGCACCAGCCGCCGCCTGGGGAGGGCTGGCGCCCAAGAGGAGGGCTTTGGGCAGGTTCCTACTCCACCTTCTCACCCCAGCCCGCCAGCCCCACCCCAGACGCTGCGGGAGGACGCGAGAGATGAGACGCAGGTCCCACTCCCACCCTCGGCTTTCCCGTGACCCCAGCTGCCAGCTTTTCCTCAGCACCCTCTCATTCGCTCCCCTCCGCTGTGGCCTGTGCCCAACACTGCCCTCTCGCACCCACTGCCCACCTGGCTGGTGAGGCTCAGGGTCTCCTCTGTGGAGGCTTTTCTACTCTACCTCCCCATGGGCTTCAGTCCTCCCCCCCGCCCCTGCCCCCCGCCCGGAGTCACCTGCCCGAAGACGCATCAGGGCACATGGCATTCCACTGCACTGGCCACCCCGGAGCCAGGGAGCCAGCGGGCACCCCAACCCGGGGGCTAACCTCCTAGCCCCGTAGAGCTCCGAGGGGCGGGTGCTCCCCGCTGCAGCCCATTGTGCAGGAACTGGGGCCCAGTGTGGCCAGACCCTCTGCTTTCGCATCACAAGGCCAAAACCTTAATATTTTAGAACATGAAACCTAATTTTTAAAACTCAGACAAAATTTAAAAATTTCAAAACCACCATGGGGTCCAAACAAAGCCCATCTTCAGGCAGGATTCCCCCAGCACCTCCGCGTGCAGCGTTCACTGCACCCCTTCCTCAGGCAGGCAGGGCGTGTCTCCCCTGCACAGGGGGGTTCCTGGAGGAGGTGGGGGTCGGGAGCAGGGGACACCCGCTTTGTGCCAGAAGCTTAATTGCGTCATCTCATGTAACCCTTAGGACAAAGCTTTGAGAAAAAAAAAACGGCCCATTTTCCAGCCAGGAAAACTGAGGCTCAGAAGGTGCAGTGACTCCTGAGTGCTCACAACCGGTAAACGACAGTGAGTCCCAGCCCTGGTCTATTTGCTCCTGTCCCCACAGGACTGAGCGCACATGGGTAAGGCGCCGGCAGCAGGGGCACCCTACAGCTTTGTGCATCATTAGTGATGTCACTGTTATGGATAGCGAATAACTTACTGAGCCCCTGTGGTTCTAGGTGCACAGAATGGAAACCAAGCAGGACAAGCTCGCAGGTTTGCACCCGGGAGGAGGCAGACACAAACGAGGACGAAGATGGATTAGCAAGTCAGCCCACAGGGGCACATGCGTGGAGCAGGGAAGTGACCGAGCTGCCCTCTCGGCCTGTGGCTCCCCGCCCCCTGCCCGCGGCTTTCCCAGGGGAGGCGGGAGGTGTGTTGTGGCTGAACCCCGCGGAGCCCGTCCCGTCGTCTCATGTTCCACATCGTAAACCAGACGGAGCTTCAAGCCTTCAAGAAAGCCCCGATCTGCAAATACTTACCTTTCACTGGCATCTTCCTAGGAGGCCCTCCTTGGGGACAACACATAGGGTGATCCTGGGAGCCTTAAATTCCAGATGTTTATTCTAGTAAGTGAGGCTGCTCAGTCACGGGGACAGAGTGCACCCCAACCCCATGTGTGCACACCAGCCCTCGGCACACACACGTGCACACACACGTGCACACACATGTGCACACACACACGCACTGCCTTCCACACTCCACCGCGTTCCAGAGCCCAGAACACCTCTCAGGATCTGCCCAGCTGCTCCTCAGACCCCACCAGGCCGCTCCTGCACAGAACCCCCAACAGACCCAGGTGGGGCGGCAGTGTCCGGGCAGGATGCCGGTGAGGCCTGGGGAAGTGGGGCCACGCCTGCCTCTCCTCTGACAGGACCAGGGGGGCGGCTGGGAGACCTCACACCCCTTCCTCCCAGGCCTGTATCCTCCCGTGCCCTCCGCACTCATGGCTGCCTTGCACCTTGCCTGCCCTCACGCTGTGAGCCTCAGTGGACTCCCCTCAGTGCTGGGAGGAGATACTGATCTGTCCTGAGCGGCCACACTCACTGTGACCTGGTTCAAATCCAAGCTCTGGCACTTACTAGCTGTGTGACCCTGGGCAAGTCACTACACCTCTCTGTGCCTTGATTTTGCAACTATAAAATGGGGACACAGTGATACCCACTACCTCCCAGAGGTGTTGCGGAGTGAACATCTAAGGCATTTAGAGGGTGCCTGGCACAGGGCAAGCACCACATACGTGTCAGCTGTGCTTATGGATATTATTTATTAAAGTCCTAGTATCTAAAACGCCATCTCCCTCTCGTCCTGAGGTAACCATTCCCAGGCTTTGTACTTTGCATCAGTAGCAGAAGGGACAGGAACTGACACTCACAGAACCCTCTCCGTGTGCCCGGCACTATGCCCAGCACGTTCCCTGGCTTGTCAGGGCCGAGCCTTCCCAGGATGCCAAGAGCTCTCGCACTGTGGGTCAGAGGAAGCAGCCCCCAGTCGCACAGCAGGAAAGCAACAGAAATGGGAAACAAAGGTCAGGGGCCTCCACCCGCCCCCTTCTACAGCACCCCGTCCCCCAAGGAGAAAATGTGGGCAGGTGGGAGCGTGGCTGTCTTCCCCGTGTCCCTGCTGCGGTTGGGGGGTGCTGGCCACGCAGGGTTCCAGCCCTGCTTCTGGGCACCTGCAAACCTGTGCAGAGGTCTGCCCGTGTGCTCTGAGCTCTTGGCAGGGAAGGCACACACACACACACACACACAGAGAAAATTAGAACAGCCCGGCCAAGCTGAAATGCTCCCCCAGAGAAGGAGGGCAGTAAAGTCTGATGAACCTCTGCATAAAGTTCGAGCTGTGAACGAGTGAAGTGATATTCCGCACACACGCCGGAAGCAGCATCTCCCGCGTCGCTGCGGCCATTCGAACTGGGGCCCCAGCACACGGAGCTGCTTGGCACTCAGCGGTCCTGCTTTCGGCACCAGCAAAACAAGGCTGCCCACGGACGTCCCAGGCGCTCCACACCGAGGGGACAGCTGCTGCCGTGCTGATGGGGCAGGTTAGACATCGGCTGCTCGTGTGGCTTCTAAAGATGTTTCCTGAGCGCCTACCCCGTCCCGTCTCTGCCACCCATGGCCCTCTTCCTAGTGGACACGCTTTGGCCACAGCTGTGGGCGAGGCAGGCCCGTGTGCCCGGTCAGCCTGACCTCCCTGCCACAGCTGAACACCTGACCGGGCACCTGGGTGGTGGGGGGGTTGCTGGGTGCCATATCGGCTCAACGATGGAGGGGCTTGAGCTGAAAGGGCATGAGGCAGTCAGGGCTGAGGTCCACAAAGAGAAGAATTCCGTCGATCACACACACACAATTTAATAAGCGCCTCCTAGGTACCTGGCCCAGTTCTAGGTGCTCAGAATACAGTGACAAAACAGCAAAGCCCTGTCTCATGGAGCTCAGCCTACAAACTATCGAACAGATCACAAATAGAATAACGTTAGTTTATATCGGCGCTACCAAAACATAGCAATGGGCTGACAAGTGACGAAGGCAGGGTGTTTGGGGGTGTGCACATTTGGACCAACTGATGAAGGAAGCCCTCACTGCGCAGAGGCCTGAGTGAGCCAGCCAGGTGAGAATTCCAGGCAGGGCCACAGCAGGTGCAAAGGCCCTGAGGTAGGGTTGAGCTTGCCATGCTCAAGGAACAGAAAGGAGGCCCGTGTGGCAGAGACAATGGCATCTGTAAGAGGCAGAGAGCGGTCCCTGTGTGGCCCCACCACGTGACTCCTTGGATTGAAACCCTTCCATGGCCCCGCAGAGAGTCCACCTCCTCAACACCGCCCAGCCCCTCAGCCTCCGTCCCCCTTTCCCCCCTCAGACTCAGTCCTGGGGACCTTTCACTTCCCTGCAACCGAAAAGCATCAGTGCGTGCATGTCCAATCACTCCCCAGAAACCGGCTCCCCGATAAGAATTTGGGTAAAATAGCTTATTTAGGAGGTGGTCCCAGGAAATAGGCTAACTGTCCACCCATCCATCATCCACCCACACAGGCATCCATCCATCCAACCATCTATCCAATCATCCATCAACGCATGCATCCATCCATCCAACCATCCATCCAATCATCCATCAACGCATGCATCCATCCATCCAACCATCCATCCAATCATCCATCAACGCATGCATCCATCCATCATCCATGCATCTATCCATCCATCATCCACCCATACATACATGCATCTGTACATCCATCCGACCAACCATTCAACTATCCACCCACCATTTATTGTCACCTCCCCTACTCCCAGCGGGACACCGAGGACTCAGGTGATCAGGTTTGGTTCTGGCCTCGAGGAGGCCTCCGCCAGCAGCCGTCACCAGCCCCACTGCTGGGTCCTCTTCTCACCCAGTGCTGTGACCGAGTCCAGGATGGAGACCTTGGTTCGGCCTCTGTGTGCCCCCACCTTGGCTCTATGAAGCCTGGAGCCAAAGGCAAAAGCTCCAACTTGATCCCCTTCCCGCTCGCTCAGGCTCTGATCGCCTAAGCCTGTGGTCAGCAAACCACGGCTCGCGAGCCACATGCGGCTCTTTGGCCCCTTGAGTGTTGGTCTTCCACAAAATACCACGTGCGGGCGCGCACGTACAGTACGATTGAAACTTCGTGGCCCATGCGCAGAAGTCGGTATATTGTGGAAGAGCCACGCTCAAGGGGCCAAAGAGCCACATGTGGCTCGCGAGCCGTGGTTTGCCGAGCCGCAGTTTGACGACCACTGGCCTAAGCTCAAGGCAGTCACCTGCCCCATAAACATGAAGACGTCCCAGATGTTCTGACATAGTGGAGTCCACACGGCACCTCACCCAACCTGCCCGTCCACCCGCCCCAGCACTTCCGGCTGACCGCTCAGTCCAGCTTTGCCTGGAGCCCTGTGTCCACGAGGCCAGACCCCTGGCGAGAGGTGCCCACGAGCACTGACCTCTCTCGGAAGTACTTGATGGCCTCGGGCTCTGTGAAGGTCGGCTCCTCCCGGTAGCCCTGCTCAAACACCTTGCGCTTGTGGCGGAACTCGATGACCGTCTTGGTGTAGGAGTTGAGCGTGGTCACGGAGGCGGCCATGCAGCACGTGAAGGAGCCCCACGCCAGGCTGCAGGAGACAGGAGAGAGGTGCCGTGAACCCCCAGCCCCAGGCGCCGCTCCCCTGCTCGCTGCCTCTTCGGGGCCAGACCTAAGCAGGTGCCTCTTGGAGAAGAACAGGACGTGGTCCTGCCCCCCCCACCCCCGAGGGCTGGGGTGGGAGCAGCATTATCTGCACCTGGTGACGCAGACCTGGCCGAGCTCACTCCTCAGAGGCAAGATCCAGGGGCCGACACGGGGAGGGTTACCACAGACTCAGTCTGAGCCGACGAGGAAGGGTTTGTGGAGGGGGTTGGGATGCTGGAGCAAGGGAATGCGAGGAGATTAGCCGAAGTGGATGATGAGAATAGATGGGAGCGGAAGCCCTGACAGCCGGCCCCTGCGAGAGCTGAATGTGACCTTGGGCAAGATGCTTACCTCTCCGCCCCATAGTCCTCGCATCCGTTTTAATGGGCATCACAATAGCCGCACCTCACAGCGAGGTTGCAAAGATGAAAGCAGATGGCCCGGTGGGGCCTCTCAGAACAGAGCTGGCACAGTCTGCGGTCCAGAAAGGCTGGCCATCATTACGACATCGCGATTAGCACCATTTTTACTGCCCGCTTCTGTCTGACTCCCAGCTCTCCCTCCCAGATTAAATTATAATGACCTCGGGCTCCACGCGTCCCCCCTGCACACTGGGGACTCGGCTGTGCCCACCTGGGGTGTGTGCTGAGCAGCTAGAGCTGGAGGACCTGCCCCCCACCCCCACATCTGGGAACACGGGAGGGTGGTGTGGGGCCAGCTGCCATCTTCTCCGGCCCAGTGCCCATTCTACAAGGGCCTCCCGCCTGAGTCCTCTGACCAGACCGCACAGTGACATTTGTAACCGGGGGTTCCGGCCTTGCCGTAGGCACACCTGCCCTGGTTTCCGGTCACTGTCCCCAGTCTCTGCCTTGATGACTGGTTTCCTCCAAATCACGGGCTCTTCTTGTTGCTGCCAACCCTGCTCTGTCCCTGAGCCTCCAGCCTCTCCTGCTGCCAGCCCACAGGGCCCCCCACCACCCACTCATTCCTCAGAGTGAGTGCGGCCCGCTTCCCACGCCCACTGCTCGTCTCTGTCAGCCCAGAGCGCCCGGAGGAAAGCATGGAGCAATGCGAGGATTCGGCCTTTCTCCCCGGATCCACACCATCGTCTGTCCCTTCCTGCCAACCCATTGAAGGGTTCCCCTGTCCTTTCATGAAAAGGAGCTAGTGTAGATCTTCCAGGAGCTCTGCCGATCTGTGACTGACAGCTGTGGGGCGCCAGCCTGGTCCCTCTAAGAACCGCCCTGTCCAGCGGTGGCTCCACCCCCGGTCACAGATGATTGGCTAAGGGCTGGACCAACGCTATTGAATCAGATAATCCTTCCTCAAGATTCTAGTCCAATCTGGGATGTCTGAACCAGAGGGCTGGAAATTCAGAACCTGAGGATGGCCGGCCCGTGTGGCTCCGTGGTTGAGCGTTGACCTATGAACCAGGAGGTCACGGTTTGATTCTGGTCAGGGCACATGCCGGGTGGGTTTCGGGCTTGGTCCCCAGTGCAGGCCGTGCAGGAGGCAGCCGATCAGTGACCCTCTTTCATCACTGATGTTTCTACCTCTCCTTCTCTCTTCCTCTCTGAAGTCAATAAAAAAATATATATTTTTAAAAAAGAACCTGAGGATGGAGAATGAAGAAGCAGGCTTTCCCTGGGATCCCATGGGCATACGCATGTTGGTTTCGCCTGACCCTCACCCACTCTGCTAAGGGACCACTCCTCCCCTCCTCTCGGGCCATGCGGTTTGTGTGGGGCTGGCCTCACCCCCAGCCTTTAGGAGTGAGCACATGACCCAGGCCTGACCAATGAGAGTGTCGCTCCCCTTCGGCCACAGTAATTGGCTCAGGATGGGCATGTGACACCAAAGTCAGGCCGAGACTCACCCATAGGTCTTAAAAATAAATATCTTTATTGTTGAAAATATTATAGATGCCCCCTCTCTCCCCTATTGACCCCCTCCACCCAGCCCGGCCACCACCACCCCAGGCACTCACTGCACTATTGTCTGCCCTGGACCCCCAGGGCTGCTGCTGAGGTACCAGGAATGGGCTCAGCTTCCCGCCCGCGGCAATTTGAGCAGGAGCTCCTGGGGACTGTCCGGCACCCAGCAACCTGAGAATGCAGCTGACCCTGAGGAAAGGAGGAGGGACAGACCCCTGCGCTAAGCAGTGTCCCTGGGCTTTCCAGGGTGGGAACCCAAATTCCTGTTTCGAATTCTTTTTTTTTCCTTAAGGAATTGGGTTTCTGTCCGTGGCAACCAGAGTTCTTCTGCAATTACTTCCTATAAATCCCCCTTTTTGCATAAGTTCGTTTGAAGGTGAATGTCTGTCCTTAGGACCAGGGAGCTGTCCTATGACACCCAGCGAGGACGCCCTGCATTTCCTCACAGCCCTCCCCCACCTGCCGTTCTCTTGTGGCTTTTCGCCTCTTATTTATTATTCTAGGTTTTTAAATTACACTTTTAACTTCAAGATAATTATAGGTTCACACGCTGCTCTAAGAAATGATGCAGAGATCCACGTGCCCTTTCCCCGGCTTCCCCAGCGGTGACATCTTGCAAATCCCGTGCGGTGTGCACCAGGGTCCCGGCAGGGGGACAGCCAGAGGCGACCCTTTCCGCCACAGTGGCCCGGCCCATAGCCACACCCACTTTCCTCCCAACCTCTGGCGACCACTCATCAGTTCTTCCTTTCTATAAATTGATCTTTTCAAGAATATTATGGAATAGACGCACACAGTCTGTGTGGACTACAGAATAATCCCCTGGAGAGTCAGCCCAGGTGTGTGTTTAACCTCATGTTCCTTTATATGCACGAGTGTCTCCATATCCGGACCAGCATTGGGTGGTGTCATCCTTTTTAAAATTTATTTTTATTTATTTATTTATCTATTTCCCAATATGTTCTTTTTTATTTTTTATTTTTGAGAGAGGAGGGTGGCTTTTCCGTGTACGGGACGATGCTCAGCCAACTGAGCCACCCAGCCAGGCCTGTCCTGGTTTTAGTCTGAGCTGCTCTGGGGGAACGTGTGGTGGCATCTCCCCGTGGTTCTCACTGCTTGGCCCTCACGGCTAATGGTGCTGAGCGTCTTTTCATTTGCTCACTTGCCACCTGAGAATCGTCTCCGGCAGAACGTCTGCCCGTATTTTCCGAGCCCTTTGTCATCGTTGCTGTTTACCGTTGCGTTCTGGGTGTTTTTGCACAGCCTGCAGGCCCGTCCTTCGTCAGATATGTGGTTTACAAATCTTTTCTTTCCGCTTGTAGCTTGTGTCTTCAACCCCTTACCAACGTCCTTCACGGAGCAAACGTGTTTAATTTTGATGAAATCCAGTTATCAATTTTTTTCAATGCTTTTGATGTCAAGTCTAAGAATGCTCTGTCTAGGCCGAGATCCCAAAGATTTTTCTCCTCTTTTTCTAAGAATTTTATACGTTTACATTTTAAGTTTAGGTCTATGATGCATCTTGAGTTAAATTTTAAACAGGATATGAAGTGTAGATCAAGAGCGATTTTTTATTTTTTTTGCCTATGAATGTCTAATAGCTCCAGTACCATCTGTGAAAGGCTATTCTCACCTCCACTGAATGAATTTGCATCTTTGTCAAAAACCAGTTGGGCATATTTGTGCGGGTCTATTTCTGGATTCTTCATTCTGTTCCATTGATGTATCTGGGTGTCCATCTCCCCACCGACACCACAGTCTGATTACTGTAGCTATACACTAAATCTTGAAATTGGGTACGCGGATTTCTCCCACTTTTTCTTCTTCATCAAAATTGTTTTAGCTAGTTTAGTTTCCTTTGCCATTCTTTTGTTGTTGCTGTTAATCCTCTCCCGAGAATATTTTTCCATTGATTTTTGGAGGGAGTCGAAGGGAGGGGGAAAGACACGGAGATAGAAACATTGATGTGGGAGAGACACATGGATTGGTTGCCTCCCACATACATTCTGACTGGGGCTGGAGATCGAGCCTGCAACTGAGGTACGTGCCCTTGACTGGAACTGAACCTGGGACCCTTTAGTTGCAGGCTGAGGCTCTATCCAGTGAGCCAAACCAGGTAGGAAATTTTGACATTCTTAATAAATTTTATCATAATCTTGTCTATATCTATAAGAAATTACACTGACATTTTAATAGGAATTGCATTAAACCTGTATATGAACTTGTGGGGGATTGACATCTTTGTCATGAACATGGTATAGCTCTCCATTTATTTATATCGTCTTTCATTGGCATTTTGTAGCTTTCAGCCTCCAAATCCCGGAGGCGTTTTGTTAGATTTATTTCCATGTATTTCACTTGTTTCAGTGTAAATGGTATTGTATGTTTAGCTTTGTCCAACTGTTCATTACTAGCTTATAGACTATAATAGATTTTCATAGTTTAATCTTGTATCCTGAGACAGTACTGAATTCATTTATTAGGTCTAGGCATTTTTTAAAAATATATTTTTATTGATTTCAGAAGGGAAGGGAGAAGGAGAGAGAGAGATAGAAATATCAGTGATGAGAGAGAATCATTGATCAGCTGCCTCCTGCACACCCCACACTGGGGACTGAGTCCGCAACCCAGGCATGTGCCCTGACCAGGAATCAAACCGTGACCACCTGGTTCATAGATCGATGCTCAACCACTGAGCCATACCGGCCGGGCTAGACATTTTTTTACATGTAGGTTTCATGGATTTTTCTGAAAAGACAACCATGTTATCTGCAAATAGATATAGTTTACTTCTTCCTTTCCAATCTGTATGCCTTTTATTTACTTTTCATGTCTTATTGCATAAGCAAGAGCCTCCAGCAGCACATGGAGTATGAGTGATGCTCCCAATCTTAGATGGAAAGCATTTATCTTCACCACTGAGTACGATGTTAGCTGTCGGTGTTTAGGTAGATTCTCTTTATCAAATTTTAAAAGTTCCCCTTTATTAAATTTTTTTAAAAATAATATT